GAACTAAGTATTCTTGGAGTAGTTGATGTGTTATTTCCAGTCACAGAGCATTTTCGTATCAAGTAGGACTTGATAGTAGTAGCACATGGAAAATAATCCCCAGAAGAAAAATCAATTCCTTGCTTTATGTTTATGACGAGAATCTTAGGGAGTTTCCCATATAAGAGACTTCTATTGCAAGAATATGTTTGAGGAGCTTTCTCAAATTGAAGAAGCAGTAGAAGAGGTTTTGGAACAACTTAATAAATTAATAATAGCAATTAGAAGGACTAGACAGTATTCCCCACAGCGCTTTAAAAGAACTTGGATAAAAACTGCTAAACTGTCATGTGCAGCTTACTGCTTAAATCAGCCTCATTTCCAGACAAAGGAAAGGCAGCTATACTTACCTTGCTCTTTACCTTTCCCTCAGCCCACCTTTCCTAAACCACTTTAGTACCTTTTCCACTACTAGCAACTGGTTAAGTATAGCTATTCTCATATAGCTGTATCCTAAAATAAGAAAGCCCAGGGACATGGCACAGAATTACTTGTTGGGAGCAGGCCCATGTATGTGAACTGAACACTACACTAACGGGGAAAAAAAAGAAAGAAAAGAAGTTGCACAGGAATCAGATTGCATAAATCAGGGCATTTAATACCTGGGCTGCATCTGCCTAGCAGGGTCTTTTCATACTGGAAGTTTCATTGATATAATTATATGGGTTATACTGAAGTGTGAATTTATATTATTAGATGTCTACCACGATAAATTCATATTTAGACCTTCTTTTCCTAGCATAAGACTGACATTCCTTGTTTATTTTTATCCTATTTTATTTTTCTGTTGGAAAAAAAGGTCTGCTCCCATTCTTATGCTAGAATCGGACTGTGCAGACAGGGAATCATTACTGTTAATACAATGATGTTTTTACTTTACAGTCTGTGTGGGCAACTTTAGTTCAAACATAATGCCTAGTTCTACATTGCTCAAAAAGTATGTTTCTCTCATTTTCAGTGATACCCCATTGGCTCACGGAGTCACAGTTTGGTTCAGTACATTTCAGGATATAAATACAGGATTCCTTGACTCACTTGTCTGACACAATACTGCAAAGTTAATTCTAACGGATGGTAATTTTATTACTCATTCTGAGAGAAGGACGTTGTAGGATCATGGTGACAACCAGGACTCGGAGAATAAAACCTCAGGGTTTCTGGCCTGCAGTTGTTTTCTGGACTGTTTAGACTTTGTGACATCCATAGCATTTGATATACGTGGGCTTGACAGCTGTAATTTACACATAAGAAACAACAAGACATATTTGCTCTCAGTCATTAACACAATCCTATCCTATTAACACAATAGTTCCTCCCCTACAAGATTAGAGGAAATAGGCTAAATTCTGCCATCTCTCTGGTGCATTGCTACAGCTTCAGGTTAGTTGACAAGTTGGAAATAGAAGCAAACATTGGCTCGGTAGCATCAGAGCTGACATCCCCGTGAATTCAGACTCACTCCTCCTTGTATTCTGCAATACATTTTCTTTTTAGCAAAGAGGACAGGCAAGATACATCTTCTACAGCAGCAAATAGATGCAGAAAGGAGAAATTTGTTTAATCTTGGCTAAGCGAAGCATCACCTATTTGATTCCGATCCTTTTCAGTTCCTGACATAGCTGAATAGTTGTCTTTTCCTGTGCAACTAAATGAATAACGCTGGGAAAAGCAAAGCTTGTCACGGTATTTGATATTTAACACAGACCTACATGTTTCTGAGACACAACTATTCCAGAGAAAAATGCGAGGCCTTATTACCACTTTGGGTCTTTTTTTATGTTTCAGAAAGGAAGATAAAATCTATAAGATGCAGGTAATTTTAGGGAGCTTTTCCTAGCCCCCACGTGCTTTCAGTAGAGCACCGATGCACAAAGGGCCATTTCTCTGCTAAGTTTGTGTGCATGCAGAACGGTGTTACACACAGGCTCTGCAGGGAATATCAGCCTACATTCCCGTTCTTTCCAGGTTCATCCTGAGGGTGAAGGAAGATCCAATGCTATTTTAAAAACTACCCTAGTTTTATTTTAACTTTGCTTTTCATATACAGTTGCTTAATTATCAAGATCTAAACTCTACTTTTTAATTGCATTTTTAAAGAGAGAAGCTCAAATTATATAGTCAAGTAGGGAAGGAATATAGCTAAATATAAGGGGCACAGTTCATCCTCTTGTGATGAACTCAACAGAAACTCATTTACAGGTTTAGAGAAGTTGTGGATGGTCAGGTACAGGATGGACCTGGAGTTAAAACATTATTGGTGTTCTACAGTAGGTCTTTGAAAAATGCATTGGATCAAAAACTCTGAGTTCATTTGCCTGACAATGCTGTTTCTGCGCTTCTTTATCTGTATCCCAATTAGATATCGTATCAGTATCTGTGTCACCAGCGTGCTAAAGGCTTCACCACACCTTTCCCTGCTTCTGAGGTGCATGCTGTCATCTCTGTTAACAGCTGGATGATGCCCAGAAGCTCTCCCTGTGTGTATGACAAGTTAGCTGAGACCATATCAAATGTTCCTGAATGGCCATCTGGGCTGCCCTGGTTTGAAAATAAGTCAGAAAGTTCACACTCTAAATTTCAGTTGTTTCTACTTAACTGGCCAACTGTAGGTTTTTGTATTTTGAGAGATTCTTTATTAACCCCAAATTTGCATGCTTTTGTATTTTCACTGCTAGTAAAATTTCCAAGTGCAATTTAGTTACCTACCTTCAAGCTGCTTCCAAAGGAGGCTTGGGATCAGCATGTTGTAGTCCCACTAGTATCAAGAGGAAGTTAAATGCAAAATGTGGTTAGTACTTTCAGGAGTTCCTGACATGTATCTGCATCTCTAGGCACTGAAATCCCCCTGAAAAACTGACTATCCACATCTGCCTTGTGTTCAGATAGGTCTCAATTATTTTCAAACTTGCAGGTTCAATGTTTAACACTCTGCTGTAACAGATGTATTTGCTGTTTAATAATGTAGATAAAAATATTTTAACTTTCAGTAGTGAAAACCAGCGAACAACTGATTCCACTTACAGCCCAAACCACAAAGATACTGCCCATAATTCCTGAACAAGAGCATTGTCATGTGGGTACATCAACTGCACAGGGTAAGTAAATATCTTACAACTCCAATTATTCTGGTTTGCCTCATATTTTTAGAATTAGTAGTGCGTAATATCAGCTCAAAATAAATTGCTACTTCTTCTAGCCAAATATATGAGATGATAAACTGGAAAATGTGTTCTGTGAGAGGTAGGTGGCAGGGAAACAAAATTGTTTTTCCTTCTGCCACCAAGAGTCGCCTATAAATGAATGTGTTAGCCGTCTAAACCCTGTGTGTCCCTGAAGGCCCTAGTGCAAATTCTTGCACTGTTTTTCTGGTGTAGAATATTGTGTCCTGGACTTCAGCATTATGCTGGCATTTGTTTCTGATGAGGGCAGAGGAAAGAATGAATTTGCACATTATCTCTGAAGAGAATCACGTGTTTGAAATTAATGGTTTGCTGATCAAATTCCCCAAACGAAAGAAATCGATCGCTCTGTCATTATTCCACCAGTCAGAAGGAGTGACGAGATGTTGGTTTCAGCTTGGAACTAAAACTAGTCTCCCACTTCTAATTTCTCCAGCCCTTGTACTCCAGTAAATTGTTTCAAGAAGTTCAGATGTAAGGAAACCAGTCTGAAAAGAAATATTCGGTAAGAGATACCTCTTCCTGTCTGTTGTGGTTTAGCCTGGCTGGTAACTACACACCACACAGCCACTCGCTCATCCTTCCCCAGCTGCAGAGAATGAGGAAGAGAATTAAAGGAGAAAAAGG